GCCTCTCATTCTTGCAAATAAACATAATCTCAAGAAAAAAAGAAAGAAAAGGACAACCATGTTTTAAATTCCCCTCTCTATGGATTCACAGACCCCAAACTTCCTCTGCTTGGCGATGACACCCGACTCAGGGCCTGATTCTACATTCACTTCGAGAGAACTCCAGAGACACCTAAGACACGGGGCGGGCTGCGCAACTCCAGAAACGCGAGCAACCAGGACTTTCAGAAACAGGCCTTCACTAAGGATCTCTGGACCCAACCAATAGAATGTCAACAAAGGTCTGTCAGTGCTGCTCTTTTATTACTAATTGCATACATTTCAGGAGCTGTTTTGCTAAAAAAGTAAATCTCAAATTATATTAGTGCATTAATTTCACCTTAGGAATGGGTGAGGGCAAAGATGACCTCAGGAAAAGGGTCTTGCAGCACGGTTATCTCCTCCTGCGGGCAGGGCTCGGCGCTGTGGAGCAGGATCAGCGCCCACCTCCACACTGGTGCGGGCAGGGCTCAGTGCAGCAGAGCAGGTGAGGCACCCACCTCCACACTGGTGCAGGCAGGGCTCAGTGCAGCAGAGCAGGTGAGGCACCCACCTCCACACTGGTGCGGGCAGGGCTCAGTGCAGCAGAGCAGGTGAGGCACCCACCTCCACACTGGTGCGGGCAGGGCTCAGTGCAGCAGAGCAGGTGAGGTGCCCACCTCCACACTGGTGTGGGCAGGGCTCAATGCAGCAGAGCAGGTGAGGCGCCCACCTCCACACTGGTGTGGGCAGGGCTCAGCGCCGCGGAGCAGGTGAGGCGCCCACCTCCACACTACTGTGGGCAGGGCTCAGCGCCGCGGAGCAGGTGAGGCACCCACCTCCACACTGGTGCGGGCAGGGCTCAGTGCAGCAGAGCAGGTGAGGTGCCCACCTCCACACTGGTGTGGGCAGGGCTCAATGCAGCAGAGCAGGTGAGGTGCCCACCTCCACACTGGTGCGGGCAGGGCTCAGCACCAAGGAGCAGGTGAGGCGCCCACCTCCACACTACTGTGGGCAGGGCTCAGCGCCGCGGAGCAGGTGAGGCACCCACCTCCACACTGGTGCGGGCAGGGCTCAGCGCTGTGGAGCAGGTAAGGAGAACCTGGGTCTGACTGTGGGATCCAGCTCCTGACTCCTCTTCCTACTAATGCGGATCCTGAGGACAGCCATGACGGCCCAAGTAATTGGGTTCTGGTCCATGCAAGGGAAACCTGGATTTCGTGCCAGGTTCCTATCTCAGGCCACTCCCAGCCCCAGCCACTGAGGGCATTCAGGAGGTGAACCAAGAGAGAAAGAAGAGGGAGAGGGAGTAAAGGAGGGGGAGGGAGGAAGGGGCAAGGGGAGAGAGAGACAGACAGACAGAGACAGACAGAAGTACACTTAGCACCATCATGATCAGGAACTGATCCACCAAGTTAAAACAATAAAAGCTGGTTAAATCGGGAGTTATTTATTTTTAAACCCTTTGTGATGCCCACCCTAGCTAGGAGACGCTGGTCTGTGACTCTTGACTGCAGGGTCAAGGACGGCCCTGCTCGGTGTGAGCACATGACTGACGTCTCCTCTAAGTCCCACCTATAACGAATCATCTCGCTCCAGCTTCAATCTCCCGCGGGCAGAGGGAGAACCCGGAGCCATTCGCCATGCAATCCCACTGGGGACATTTCTAGCTTTCTACAGTCCAATTCCAATTGTTTATGGTTGTCTTACATCTAATTCAGTGGCACCATCACAGACACAATTCTGTCTTCACACTTGTATTTCACTGGCTTCATAGTAACCAAGTAATTAGAATTGATGAATATCTGTGACAAACAGGCTTGGAAACCAACACAACTGGCCCTTGGTGGGCAGTGGAAGCTGCCTTGTCTCCTGTGCCTCTGCCAGGGGGGCAGGTTGTTGGCTGGAAGCCGGTCACATCTCATGACACTTCTGGTAAAGGGTTCTTAACATAAAGGGCTCTCCTGCACCAGTAAGAAAAAGGTAAGTCCCTCCACTAGGAGGAAAATGGACAAAAACCACAAACAAGCAATCCACAGAGAGTAAAAGCTGGCATTAGACGTGGACAGTGTGTCAACCCTTGCTAGTAATCAAATGCAAATTCTCTGTCAAACTGACAGATACCCGTTCTTGACACTGACAGCCAGAGTAGATCAGACTTTAATGGAACCGACAATGCTGACGGGGGTACATCTGGAATACGAATCAGGACTCTTGAAAGAATTTCATATTCTGTGATTTACCTCTAGGAATTGATTCTAAGACAGCCACATACTGATTTGTATACACCGATTTTAAATGACAGCAGAGAAAAGGAAAAGCGTAAAGCACCCATCAATACATGATAAATAAGTTTACGCTCCCTAC